GCATTTTTTTTTTTCGCAGTACAGTATCTCTTCAGAAAAAAGTTTAACGAAAGAAGCTAGTGTTTTTTGACTTTAGGAATTACTTCACTGGAGTTCGCATCAGAATTTAAAATCTGTATGGATAACGTTTAGTATGAGGGTATTATAGGCGCTACCGATAACTTTTCAGCTGTGTTGAGTTGCTTACATCTGACTTTTGTGGTGCTCCGACTGGGAATTTCCCTGCGGTTGAACCAGTTTTTTCAGTTAAACTTTAATCGAATAATTTCTTCGTTTGTAATAATCACTCTAGCTTTGCTATCTTTTATTACCCTATGAAGAACCCCTCTTGTTTTGTAGAATTTCCAGGCTATTGTTAGTCAAATGTTTTTTTTTTGCTTCAAGTTTTCTTTTTGCGTTTAACAACGTTGTTTAAGTCGTTGTACTGTATTTAAAGTAGCCAAAGTAATTCTTTTTTCGCTTTTATGCAGATAAATTCGCAATATTCGTTAGTCTGAACATTTTGCGCCACTAAAGAAAAAAAAATTTCTTTCAAACATTAGTTTACAAAAAGTCATAAATTAATTTTATTTTTATTTTATTTATTTATTTATTTATTTATTTATTTATTTATTTATTTATCTATTTGTATTTTTAGAGGGTAATACAACCATATTTTTTGACAATATGGAAAGTATTTTTACGAGAATTAGCTAAATCTGTGAAAAATGAGGATCAAGGATTTCTTTTTTTTTTTTTTTTTGAAACTGCTGAAAAAAGTCATATTACATATACATATGGCATTTTCTTAGAAAAGATTCGTCGAAAAAGCTATGATTAGTCTAAACCAGTTTGATTGTTTCTGAAAAGTTTGGGAAGTGAAAATCAAGATGTTGTCAGTGGGACATTGCTGATCTCGCCGTTGTGCTCTTTTCTGTTAAAGTCAAAACATCTGGTAATTTATCTAACATAGTTGTGTTCTGAAAATTAAGCAACGTATTTTTCAGACAGAAACGAAGCGTTAGTGATCTGCTTTGTAATCCTCAACTGCGTTGCTTTAAATTGCCATTTAATGACCTTGAATATATTTCAGTGTGTGTTATCAGTGAGCAACATAAATTTGGATATTTTTCAGCTTAGGCAAGACAAAAAGGTTGTCTTAACTATTAAAATAAAGACCACTTTGTTGTAGTTAAAAATTCAGGTGCAAGACTAGTGTAACTGACTTCTGTTTTGTTCGGAAGACCCAGTGTTGTAACCGTTTTAAGGGAACAAAGTCGAGCTCACATGAATATTGAATCAGAAGATAAGGAGCGCTTACGTTTGTATTTGAAGAAAGTGAAAGACAGTAAGGTGAGTCTGGCTGAGTAGTTTAAATATTTTAAATTTTTTCTGTTTTTCTGTATGTATTTGGTCCCTTGATACCATTTTAGCACCCAGTGTACGTTGCTTTTCCTGGAAGTATCGTTTTTTACCGCACTTCAGTGAACGAATTAAGATCACAATGTGAGGGTAAGTGTACGCTAGTTTTCCCTTCAATTCATTTTTTTTTGCAGCTTAGAGACTATCGTATTTCATTGGTAGAAATACACAAGAAAGAGGTGCTTACAAAATCCCCGAATCATTTTTTGTAGTAATTTTTTGTTGTTTCTTTGCATTGGTGGTGCTGTTTCATCAATACTTTGGCTAACCCTTGATTGCTGAAATAAGTTTATTTCGGAACAAAAAGACCTCACCTATTTTATGTTTATCCTTCTGGTAGTAAGACCCGTACAGTTTGAGTCTCCTTACTCTGTGTTCTTTTTTTAAAATTTTTTAAAGGTAGCTCGATATTGGCGGCATTTTTCTATTCATACATTTATAAAGTTATGAGAGTTGTTGCGATGTTTCCAGTCTCTCAAAAAGGAGAATTTAAACTCTGTAATTCCGTCACAAAGGTGGAATGGAAAATTTCAGAACCGTCAAAAAGCTTTTCATCTGATCGGTTATCCAATAAACGAAGCAGCACTCGATCCTAGCGTTTGATAACGTTTGCCATTGCCACTATGATAAGGAAGCGACAAAATTTTTTTAATCACGGAATATTTACTGTATTTCAGAGATTTTTGCACTCTGCTATTGTCCAACGATATTGCAAAAAAGAGCATGTGACGCTGTTACACTGTTTTCCAACTTTGTTTTGAGCTCGTATTTTTGTTTGTAAATATTTCTTTACCGTGCATTTGCACTCTTTTACTTGAGAAAAAACGAACATATGAATTGCGAAGTGGTACAAGACAACAAATACTGCTGGTTTTACCAGTAGCTTTCAGCGCAGCCTTCAGGTACTAATCACACTGGAAATCATTTAAAGTTTGAAGAAACTCGGTTATGTCAATGAAGCGCTAGCACAAGAAACTTAGAAAATTTGATGGTTGTATAATGCTAAGAGGGCGTGGTGAAGATTGTTAATAGGCTATGAAAAAGCTACCTCATTTTCACCAGAGAAATAAATTATAAATATAAGTTTTGAAAACTTCACTTGGTTACATTTCTGTAATAGGGAACATAGACTGTAAGTCCTTGAATTGTGACTTATTTTGTCCTTCATATTCGCGAAATTTCTTCGTGCGTTATTTTAAAGAAAGTTGAAGTCCATAGTCGTTACTTCTTGGGAAATCAGCGAAAAATCACTACGTATCAAGACAGAGTATGCGCGTTCATATAGTGTCAACAAATATTAGTACTGCTGACGCTGACGGCCGCGTATCTGAGCTACATTTTTTAATTTAGAATCTATGAATATATAGTCTTTTCGAAATCAAATTCTCTGCTGTATGCATGTCTGCTTCTAACACATTGTGACAGCGTTGTATAATCTAAAACTCCAGTCACTTGGGCAGACTTTACAAAATAAACGCAAAAATGATGGTTGCAAATCTTTTATACGAGTGGATCCCTTCATGCAACAAATTAACCATTTCCTTTATTCAACAACGAATGACTTGTTTGGAATTTTGAGCAGAGTAATTAGTAGGAGAAGATAATTGGTTCTTTGGACAGGAGAATAAGTTAAATTGAAAGTACTACTTTTAAACCTCAATTCTACGGCCACTTGTTAATTGTTAATCCAATATTTTTTGTTTATGAAACAATATCAAAATTAGTTCGAGCAAACATTATTTAGTAATCATGCCTTTGACTTTAGAAGCAATATTTTTTTGTATAAAAATCTTCTTGAGTACATGATAAATTTTAATGAATAAATGATTACAACGGTTTAGATTAACCTGCGGAAGAAGAAAAGTGACAATGCAGGTGTTTTTCTAAAGTACATTACTTTTTCATCCTTGAGTCCAACAGTCTTTTGATAATCTCGTAGGCTTATTGATTCTGCAAAAGTAGCAGGATTTAAAAGGCCGGCTGCCTACAACTGACAGATGGATACTTTGGGGCAATCCACTTCTACAACTGCGGATAAAGTATATACTCAGATGAAGCACAATTTGCTGGGCTGAAAAAATAAACACTTCAACACTTTGGTCTCTAAAACTGGCATGACAATTCCCTAAGATTAGACACTGTCCAGGAAATAGTTGCCCAACGTAATAAGAAACAATGGGTGGATGTCCATTAAGATGCTTTGCGAGAAAGTAACTTGTCTTGGAAGCCTTCAAGAAAGGCTGCCATTGTGAACATCATTTTATGTTTCTTCTATATCCATCAGTAGTCCTCGCTTCTGTGATTACACTCACTCTGCATGAAGTTCTAGATCTATAAAACTGAATGACTATAGTACACGCCGTAAAGCAGCAATAGTAGAATCTAAATTGAATTTGCATATAGCTATCGTCCCAGAATATTATATGAACGAATAATCAAAATTATTACATCTAACGGGACTTTCTTCTCGTGACGCAGAAACTAAACCGCAAACTGGCTCTTTTCTATATATTTACTTCAGTATCACAGTTACCGACCAAAGAATGTCAACAGTACATAATCCCATATGCACTTTTACTTCACTGTGAAGAATGAATTTGCCATTCAACCACCAATATACCATTTGGCAAATATTTTTAACAATGGCAACACCGCGACGGCTTACTCAGTAGCAGCAGAACAACTGCATGCACAAGGGTTTTCAAAATCCTGTTACATCGCAGTACCATTCTTCCAACCAAGTTAATTTTGGCGTAATAAGCTTTGGAAGGACTTGGTACTTATCATAATGACAAGGCTATTTCTTTTACGGCCGATGAACTGTGAAAAAGAACGGCATACTACAGCGGTGGTAGTCCAAGGAGACACCAAAAAAAAAAAAAAAAAAAAAAAA